GCGGTGCTGGGTGCCCCGTGGCACCCGGTGCTGTGCGCCGGTGGGAGCGGCGCGACCGGGCTCTCCGGCTCTGGGGGAGGAGAGGGGGAGTTGAACGACCTCCGTGCCCCTGCGGAGCCGTGTTTACATGGAATGATGATCCTTCCCTTTGCAACCCCTGCGTGGAGCGTGGAGCAAACACCGCGTTCCTTTCCTTCCGTAACATTATGCTGGAACAACGCGCAGAATTGTTTAGTACCTATGTAATTCATGAAAAACACAATGAATTTAGCGATGGATTCCATGCGGTTTGCCCTTGGGATGACTGATGTGCCTAAGGCTAGCGGGGAGAGCGTCCGGCTGTGGGGTTTTCTCATGGGCTTCTACAGAAACAGCAAAACCGAGACCTTCCCCGCGGTTGCGACGGTGGAGTCGGGATGTGGACGGGAACCGGTGTTTGGCGTCTCACTGCAGTTGGCTTACGCACACAAAATGGAGTTACTCCAACCCTCCCTGTTACTGTACCGGGATATATATATATGGGCACAGCTCCTCCATGCTTCGAGTGGTCGTGACGTTACCATTAAAAATAGGCCGGTTGGTTCCAGCAGTGCTCCCGGTGGAACAATGGCCCAGCTCCGCAGGCGGCTGCCGAGGGGCTCAGGCTGGGGGGAGAGGCTCTACGCGTAACCACGCTGCTGGTACTCGATCCTGAAACTTGACTGGTACACGCGATTTTAGCTAGACTTACTAGTCTCATGCCGTTTTTCCTTACTTTTCCCCCCAGTCTTCATGTATAACCTTATTTGTTCTGACTTGCGTAGTTTCTGTCGTGTTTCTGCTCATTCTGGAACAGCTTGGAGCGTTGAGCTGGCTGGGGGGTGTTTGAAGCAGTTAGATGAACCACTGCAAATGCTCGCGTGTTGAGCACGTCACTGAAATACTATTTCCGAGGGGAAAAAAACCACCCCACGTTCTGGTTATTGGGTTGGTGAAGGAAGAAATTGAGTCAAGAAGCTGAATAGGAGAGTGGTGATGGGGGGGGGAGGTTGGTTTTGGTTGCCTGTTTTTTAAGAAATAAAGGGAGTGAACGTCAAACCACCATCAACAGGCAGCGCAAGTCAGCAAACATCGCTGGCTTTTTAAGCTGATGCTGTAACTTTCACTTTGTTCTGTGCTTTGGAAGCAAAACACGATACGGATATGGCAGTGTGGATTTTCTGTTAGCAGCCCTTCTGTGGCTAACAGGGAACTGATGTGCATGTGCCCTGCCCTGGCACAATCGTTGCTCACAGGACCTTGTTTTCCAGTGCCAAATGCTCGAGAGGGGACAAGAAACTGAAACCTGCAGTACAAGCCAGCCCTTCGCCGAGTGTGAGCAAGCTCTTGTGTGACTCTAAAGTGGCTGTGTCCTGTGCTAGTGTTTCTTAGTTCTTCCGTAAACAAGGGCTTTCCATTTGTTTCTGATTTCTTCCCTAGAAGTGGTGTGCATGGAAATATGTAGGCAGCCACAAATTTTGGAGCACTATGTTGAGTAACACTTCTTTGGCTTTAAAACTTTCTGTTATAATTTAGAGGACGTGTGATTGCCATTTAGACTTTTAAAAAATAACAAAAAGAGGTTTTTGGTATTTTCATGATGAAAGCACGGCCCCATTAAATTAAGGAGTCTGAAGGACTTGCAGAAGAAATCAGGAGAAATAGTTATTTCTTCTTAATTTAGCTTCAGGTAAACTTTCTTGTATGAGCAATTCAATTTCTTTTTGGTTAGGAAAATGTTACAGTAAAGTAGTGTTTGAGGACTCTACTGCCTTAATAATTATGTTACAGGATGTTATCAGCATAGGTCTTCAAAGGATAACTATCTTTCCCTGAATAATCCCCTTCCCACCTAATCCCCCCATTGATACACGCACCTAGTGCCAAACCTGTAACGTGGGAACAACATTGTTCTGTTAAACACAGGTAAGGTAATTGAAAAATATTGGGTCTGCTCCAATCCTCTTGGGTGGCTTTCCCCAGTATTTTTTTTAGTTTGAGCCCAGAAACATAATTATTGAAGAGACCCAGGTGTTCCAAAATAGACTTAAATGGAACTCTTATATTGCTCTAATACAGACAAGCTATCTGCTAGCGAGTGGTTTTTAGTACTGTTATAATGACTTATGAAGAGGGAGTTAAGTGTGCACACAAGACTGCTAAATTCTGATCTTAAGGTTCAATAAACTTTGATTAGAACTGTCTTTTTTGTATCAGTGTCTCCATAAAGGGAATTGAAAAGGCTCTAGTTACGTACAACCTGTAGCCTGTTCTTGGGGTGAAGTCTAGGAACTAAGATGTGCTGCAGGAAGCGTAATAACTTGTTTTTTCTGAGCAGTAGTCAAGTTTCCCTTGAATTGCATACTGATTCGGCAGTTTTTTTCCCAGCCAGTAGAACATTGGACTTGGTTCTTCTGCACGTCCAGTCAAACTGCACAGGCCGTCGGGGTTCTGGACTCCTGTTTGCTGCAGTGGACATTGGCAAACTTGCAGAGACCTGACTGAAAGAATTACATTAGGGAAATTACCTCCTGCTTTTTTTCCCCCACTGTTGGGCTTCAACATGACTTGACTTTAATGTGTGTTAATCTCTTCCAGATCTCTGTTTAAACTTGCTTTGATTTGTGTTTTCAGTCTTAAACCTAATCAAAGCAATATGGTGTATTCCTTACGACTTTAAAAGATCTCCAAAGATCTTGGCCTTAAGTGAAGGTAATGAGGTTTGTAATTTACCAGCGTAATTTTTTTAATTGCTCAGAGTAAGGTTTTTTCATTTTTCATGTAACTACAGCCTTTCTAGATATTCTCCTCTTGGTTTAAATTGTGTTATGCTGGGGGAATATACTGGCTGGAGCCCTACAGTCTCCCAAGCTCTTCACCCCGCAGTCAGCTTTAGACTATCTGCGGTGGGTTACTGGTGTTTTGCACTAACTAGGTCCCGCTGTAACCACCCACCGTGCCCGCACGGGTGTTGGAGAGCGGTACGAGTGCATCTGTGCCGCGTTGGGCTCTATTGTGCCTGCTGTTTAAAGCTGCCTCTGCTCTTGAAAGGGTTGCTTTCACAGGCTTCTGAAAGTGAATCTATTCAGAATGTACCGACAGCTTTAACTCAGACTTTTTCTTTATTTTTTTTAAGTAAACAAAGCAAAATGGGGAATGCCTGACTGATTTCATTGGGGATATTGAAGAGCTCCGAAGAGAAATTGTATTCCTATTCTAATTCACCCTTGCTTTCGTGCTCCCCACTTTCCCCCATCCCCTTCCTGACAGTCTGGGGAAAGGGTTGGTAGTACAAAGCGGTGCCAACAGCTGTATGTTTCCAGCCTGATTTTTAACAACTGCATAAAGAAAAGGCTTGTGGGTGATTTGCAGCAGAACCTGCATGTTTATACTGCATTTAAATACAATTGTGTGGTAGTCCAGGCTGTAGTTTGCAGCACAGACTGGATTTGAAGAGGTATTGCTGGGGTCAAAATGTGAGTTACTAGGCTGCTTTCTTCACTGGAGAGGAATTTTGTCATAATCTGAAATACTTGTCTTTTGTTTTTCCCAGGTTCCTGTCGCATGTAAATCGTGTCCCTGTGGCTACATATTTATTAGTCGAAAACTCTTGCATGCTAAACGGGCTGAGAGATCACCACCCATCACAGGTAATGCTTATGGAGGTGGGAAGAAGGGAAGGTGACAGTTCTTTCCCTTTATTTCTTGGAGGCAAAGGACAGAGTATTTTACTTCAGTGTGTAAATTGACGGTTGTCCGTTCACTTTCACCTGAATTTATGCATGGTAGACTTATGTTTATTTTTCTTGATTTTTGAGGGAGTAAAAACCTGTTGTTTTTCAGTCTTACCTCCTTTGGACTTGTGATGTTGGCATTTATTCTGTGTATATTCTAGTGATACACATCGGTCGCTCTGCAAAACTCCTTACAGAAAACTTTCTGTTGATCCTGTTTTGAAGCTAAATTTCTAGAGGTACCAAGGGGTACCTCAGAGTACATGCTCATGAAAGCTGGGTTTTCTGAAAGTAAAAATCTTTTTTTTTTTTTTTAATAAGTTATGTTGAGTGGTACTTCATTAATGAATGCATTGGTGGCACTGAATAAAATTGGTTGGATGTTTGATCTAAAACCAGGTGGGTCTTACTTTTCTCTGCATGGGTAAATTAAAAAATAGTGTATTTCTTGTCTTACTTGCACGTCTTTTGTTGATGGGTACAGTAAGAGGCTGGTTGAATATTCATTCTGGCATGATTAACGTTCTCCTTGTGTTCATTTTTATCACTACTTCAACTCTTAGTAGGAATTAGTCATAGCAAGCACCTGCCAAGGAAGATGTAAAAAAAATAAATTCTGAATTATAATGTCTATTTTTTAAAATTATCTCCCAGGCCTACAAAGTGGAAACTAAATATTTGATATTTTGTATCACTGTTTTGCAGGATACTTATATTTTACCAGCTTGTAGGAATTATATGAGATGGTGCTAAACAACTGAACTTTGAAGGTAGAGGAGGTAAAGCAATGTCTGTGGTACGGTTTGGAAGCGTTGGTCAATTCTTTTCCTCTCCCTGACCGTTTTACGATAAAGTAGTTACCATGTGAAGCTGCAGGCCATAATCTGGTGGAGCAAAGCTCTTGCCTAATTCAGCTTCTTACTCAGGAGATGCAGCAGGGAAGGAAGAACCCCGTGCACGAGTATATGCTGGGGGCTGCTGCTGGAAAGCTGCTTTGCAGGAAAGGACCCGGGGTCCTGGTGAGCAGCAGGTTGAACGTGAGCCGGCAATGTGCCTTTGTGGCAGAGGAAGCTAATGATACTCTCGGCTGCTTGAGACATATTGCCATCAGGCCGAGGGAGAGGATACTTCCCCTCAGTTAAACACTGGTGAGGCCACACCTGGAGTACTGTGTCCAGTTCTGGGCTCCCCAGTCCAAGAGAGACATGGACACACTGGAGAGAGGCCACAGAAGGGCCACAAAGATGGAGCGGAGCATCTTTCCTCTGGGGAAAGCCCGAGAGACCTGGCCCTGCCCAGGCTGGAGAAGAGAAGGCTCAGAGGAATCTTACCAATGTATGTAAATACCTGAAGGAAGGCTGCAGAGGAGATGGAGCCCGACTTTAGTCAGTGGTGCCCAGTGACAGAACAAGACATAATGGGCACAAACTGAAACACAGGCTGTTCCCTCTGAACACCAGGAAACACTTTTTTTAGAGTTGCCGTGACTGAGCACAGGCACAGATTCTCCAGAGAGGCTGTGGAGTCTCCATCCTTGGAGATTCTCAAAAGCCACCTGGACTGGTCCTGGGCAGCTGGCTCTTGGTGGCCCTGCAGATTGAGACGGGTTGAGACAGGTTGGTCTCCAGAGGCCCCTCGCTACCTCGGCCTTTTTGTGATACTGTGAAGTGCAGCTTTTGTGTTAATATTAGTGACAAGTTACCCTGATGTCCATTTCGTACCCTGTGTCTATATAAGATAATGGGACAACTGCAGCAAAAGGAAACCAGTTACCCTGGAGGGTGTAGTGGGAGACTGCGTAGGTCGGTACTGTGCTCATAAGGTAACTGCAACTTCCGTTAGGGAGCGTTGTTTCAGGATTTTCAACAATACAGCTACTGCAGAATGGTGCTGCAGCCTTGCCAATGTGCAACTAGTCAGTGTTGAGTGATGTGCTGTGGTGACTACTGTTTTCAGTACCCAAGCTTGTTAATCCAAACTTAATTTAAAGGCGAAACTCATGTAAATACTCTTACTTGACTCTGCAGTGTAGGAAAATAATCCCTGTTCAGCATCAAGTGTTATGAGGCCTTGTCATAAACTGGATTTGGTGGGACACGTGTGCTTTGTAATGTGGCATTTACTGACAGCGTCGTTGACTCGGCTTTTCGATTTGTGTGAGCACTGGGAATAACTTCATTGCTTGTGTAGAAAGAAGATGAAGTATTTGCTGTTTGCTTGTATGGTAAACTTTTTTTTTTTGGCCAATGTAAACAATTGCAGTGGACTGTCTTGAGGGCTGTGATCTGTACAGGTTTTTTCCATCTTATTATGGGAAGCTGAACTTTTTGTATACTAGCAAACATTCGTTGCAAAATACATTTGAATAAAAGGCTTGATTAAAGGCTTAATAATTAAAGGCTTGATGCTTGTAATCAGGAAGTGAAGTGTCATTCTGGAGCTGACATGTTAATTTCTGCATGGATGTCATGCAGATGTAATTGTAAAGGAACAGACGTCTAACTGCTTTTGCTGAGAGATTTAAAGAAAAAAGGTGATTGTGTGGGGTAAGGATTAAGAGTAAATTAAGGACAAAGATGAAAACAACCCTGTATCATACTGTCTCTATTCATTTGCACAGAAAACAAGAGTGAGGCCAAACGGAGACGGACAGAGAGAGTTAAGCGAGAGAAGATAAATTCTGCAGTAAATAAAGACTTAGAAAACCGAAAAAGATCCAGGTCTAACAGCCATTCAGATCATAGCAGACGAGGAAGAGGAAGACCTAAGAGTGCCTCAGCCAAAAAGCACGAAGAAGAAAGAGGTATGAGAACTGGAGAAATACTTTCATTTGGTTTTCTTTTTGTATGAAGACTTTTTGAATCAATAAATATACCATTCAAACCATGTAAGTAACTAGACTAGTTGAGCCAATACCCGCTGTCTTAACATGGGGAAGAAACTGTTGTCACATCTGTAGAGACTTCTGGTTTTATGATTCAATGTCTGACTGGAACTAACTATAAGGAACTTGAGTCTGTATTTTTAGTCACCAGGTCAAGTTCCAATATGCAGGTTGAAAGCCATTGGACTGTAGTGCCTAGTAGTTTCGGTTTGTTTTTTTTGAGGTACCACTGCTCTAGATCACAAGGACAAAATATAGAATGGTGCCTGTTATCAGAGCGATTAGGATGATTGGATTGCTTAAAAAGTTCCTTGAAACTTTTTTTGAGAGCCAAAGTAAAAAGGCATCTTGAATCACTCCTATGACCTGAATTTTAGTCTCATGTTTCTACAGAATAATACTCTAGAGGAAAGAATGCCTCCTTGCTTATTAAGGTTCCTTGGTGACCTGCTGGTCTTAATCTTTATACAATAGACTGCTACTTGCCCTGGAGCAATTTTGGAGCCCCTCAAGTAGGTGACTGTCACTTAAGATTCCTGTTTTTTTATGAGCCTATTGACACTGCATTTGCTGTCTATGATTTTGGAGATACTAATTTTAGGCCTGAATAATTATTCTAGAATTTAGCATAGACAAAAAGGATGGAAGGCAGATAGGAAGATGATGACTTCATACTTAAAACTACTGAAACGGTCAAGCATACCTTGTGACATAACTCAGATGCAATTGGTTTTTTCTCCTGCCACCTTACTTGATAACAAAAATGGGTGTTAATCCAGGTTGCAAAGTGAGTTCTTTTATCTTCTAACTGTTCAAACCCAATTGGTTGTCTCTGCTGTTTAATGTAAATATGTTAATTTCTAAAGTTTCTTTCGTATAAAAACAAAGTATAAATTGGGATTTTTTTTGTTGTTGTTTTATTGCTCATTTAGTGCTTTGGCTGTGGAAAGAGGAGACGAAGTTTGTTTTCTGGATGGCACTTGCTTTATAGGAATACACTTAAAATATCTAATCTCTTCACTGTTGCATATGGCTTATTGATTTGTGGAGCTTCCCAGAATACAGAGCTTCCCTATTTGTAACTGATCCAAGCTAGGCTTTGTCTAGCACCTCTAGAATCGTTTCTATGCATTTTTCTGACAGTCTAGTTCACACACAGCTTGGTTTTGGAAATTCCTGCGACTTGTTGGGTTGCCCTGTACAAAGCAAATCTTCGTTCCTGTCCCCTGAGAGAGAGGAAAGCAGTCTAAGCAATCAAAAGAAAAGACCCATTGTCTTAATGCATGTCTTACAGTGTCCAAAAAGCAAGAATTTGAAAGCATGAGGGATATTCAGAGAAGATGCTTTCCTGTCCAAAACTAGGCTGAATGTTTTGACCTCTTACTGCATACTTCAAAGTGTGACGATATGGCAGTTCTCGGAGGTAGAAAACTAGAAATAGGGATGTAGTGATACATAATTCTGCATAATGTGTGTGTGTGGAGTGTTGTTTTCTTGGGTTTGGTGTTGTGGGGTTTTTTTTTAGAGCAGAACCTCACTTGAGAAAATTGCCTTCCTCATCTTGTTCTGTCCAACCATCCCCTTTTCTTGGTACTGTGACTACTGCTACTACTTCTTCCTTGACCTCTTCTGCAGAGCTGGTACAGAGCTTGGGTTCCTGCCCCTCTGTAGTTGTCTCTGCTCCTCACCAGTACAGCACACCTTATTGGTTAGCAGTAAGCGGATTAAGGATATTTTCTTCTGACTTATTTCTGATTCTGTCAGACTGTAATCTGTGTAGACCACTGGTGATTATTGAGCGGAGTTATAAAACCTAACAAAACGTTGGTAGATGGCTGTCACAGCTATAAAAATAAATTCAGCAGAGAACCTATCATTTCGTAAGTAGTTACTATAAACCAAGTTAACACCAACTTATCCCTTTTCCAGTGGCTTATAAAATTGGCCTAACTACGACGTGTGGAGTAATTAATGAGGAATTTTAGAAATATCCTTCCTTTACCAAACCTGCTGCTTGACAGTGTTGTGTAAAAGCATATTAAGCAACTTTAATTCTTCTACTCCAATTAAAGTGGGTTTTTTTTTTGGTGTGACTCATTGCTAGTCCTTGTATCAGTCTGCGTAATGTTGAAAGTCAGCCCTAGAGTGCCGGACATGGGCTTAACCTTAGACTTGAAGTACGTGATTTCCTCGCCTATTGTATATTTCTAGGGTACTTTGGGTACGTTTTACGTGTCCCTAGAGATTGTGCTATTCTTCTTGTCCCCGAAAGACTTGAAAAGAGGCCACTGCCTGCAAAGCTGTGAAGTATTTGGTGCCTCTTAGGTGCCTACAATCTCTGATGCACTTGTAGATGAAAAACAGGAGGAGAGAGACACCTAAATTGTAGTAGCATGGAAGAGCAGATAATCTGTCTGTTTGAAGACCACCCAACTGTGAAACTTCTCTTCCTAAAGACACCCCTGACGTGTAGCTCTGCTTCCTTGGCTCGTGTCGTGCTTTTTTCATCCGCGGCGTGCTTGTTCCCAGTGATGTCTGTGCCTTTGACTAGTGCTTTTGTATCCTTCGTGACTGGCTCACACTAGAGCGAAGAGCTGCAGGATTCAACAGCAATTAATAAGAATAGGAGAAGCAAAAGGGCTTTTTAAAATAAACTCTTTTCCCTGTGGATTTAATAAGAAGGAATGGAGGGGTGAGGAAAGAAAGCTGATGGAGACTGAGGGGATATGGCAGGGTGCTGGGACCCACAGAATATTCCTGTCGGAGGTTTCAGAGCCGTGTGATGACCCTGCACAACAGGAACTTCTCACTGCAGGCTTGGCTCATCAACACGCGCAGTTTGTCTGGCTGGAACGCTACAGTGTACTTGTAAAGCAGAAGTTTCATAATCTGATTCTGGTTTTTGTTCTGGTGGTATATTTATTGCTCTGTTGTGTGGGACTGTGATGCACAGCTAGGCAGGTTCCCAGGCTGCCTTGTTATCTAGGTAACAACTTTGGTTACACTAAACCAAACAAACCCCTCCTTGTAGGCTGGAGGAAGTGGTGTTGGTTGTTCTGTTCCTGAAAGAGGTTACTGTCAAGTAAAACTCAAGCGGCCTGGAGTCTTACTAAAGCATGCTTGATACTTAAGGGGGAATGAATCTCTTCATAAAGATATATCCATTTCAGTATCCTGATAAAACTTAAGCTGAATTAAATTGCTTTACCCGAGTTTTCCAGGAAGTTCTGACTGTATTACTCATACATTTGCTTGCCCAATGTGCACATTTGAAGTAGTTCACGATCTTGCGTAGTGCATCTCAGAACTTTGGACTGCAGATCCATGCAAAACTTGTGAGGGGGGAGGTCTGTTTCATTTCTACACGAATCACAATTTTAAGGGCTGTGGGTCTAATGGGTTGCAGGAGATACGGGGATCCAAGATGTGCTACAGAACAACTGTATATTTTCACTTAAATAGCCTTTTAGTTGTATATCAAAAGACTGAATATTTTTTGTCTTATAAAAATGGTATTGTTTCTGTAAGACATTCATTTGTTAATAGCAGATAAGTGAGTCAGAGCTGCTTTCAGATAAGGCTGTGAAGCGGAAGGTTTTAATGGTGTCTGTAGGAACCATGGTATCCTGTGAGTAGCGTATGATGAAATGTTAGGCAGGTGCAAACTCCTCACTAGTTACTGATGAGAACTGAAGTTGTTTTCTGAATGCATAAAGCCTGCAAACCTGTGTTAATCCCTGATACTGTTTGCTATCAAGGTTTTGGCTATTTAAAGCTGCAGTCTCTCAGAACAAGCCAGTACTGTGTGAGCACGGAAGGAAGGGAAATTCGAGCGAGTTTTCTTCCTGAGAAGTCTACAATCTGTTACCAATAACCAGGAATAAAAATGTTTTTGATTTTGTTGGACGCTGACGCATTCACATCGTGCCTGGATTTGTATGGATGAGGAAGTATGAAAAAGGGGAGGGGTTTAGGTATGACAATAAAAGAGATTAATGTTGAATAACCAGTGGGCGTAGTGTCTGTGCTCAGAACAACTCCCAGCATTGTTAATTTGTAAGCGGTGGGATGGAGGAAATGGAGCAACCCAGGCCGAGTATACATACAGAACTGATTTGTCTTAAGCTACAGGGTAGGACTTGCAGCAAAATGCAGTTTTTTAGCTTTCATTTCAAACTCAATACACCAGAGAACATTGTCTTGTGTGGCCAGGGAATCATTTACGTTGCTAATACCAACCATGCTGCTATTTGTTATACTTTGCGGAGGCAAGTCTCTTGTTTTAAGATTTAAAACTGATGCATCTTTGTGTGTCCAGGCTCCTCGCTAACCAATTTTCCTTGCAAGGAAAGGTGAGCTTGTGTGTGTGACTTAAACTGTGCAGAAATCTTCAGGTGGAGGGTTTTATTGCTGTGTGCTGCTGCATCAGCATTAAATGGGAGCACAGTGGTAAAAGGTTTTTCAGTTTCTCCCATTTAATTGCTTACCACAAGCACTTGACTTTACAGGGAAGGTAGTTGGTTGGAATGGAGTTTGTAGCTGTAACACGATCACATGTGAAGCCAAATCTAAAAATATTGTTATATATGTGGACCCTTTGAAGGAATAACCATGTGAGTAGGTGGAGATGGGACATGCTGATATCTTCTTTTTTTTTTTTTCTTTTTTCCACATGGTGTTTTCCATTCTTTTCCAATGCTGCTTTCTCTCACTTGCCCTTGCTGATTTAGGTGTTTTGGTGGAGCAATCTGTGTGTGCCATGGTCAAAAAGAATGTGCACACGTGTCAGTGTGTGAAGGAGATGGGGTCTGTCAGGTGAGCTGTGTGTTGTGACGGTCAGTTAGTCCAGGTCACCATGGAACTTGGATCAGGGATGGAATTAGACACCAGTCTTGAAGCCCTATATGTGTTTCTCTCTTCTCTGTATCTACAAGCCCGGTGTTCTGCTGACAAAGCTGGTTTTGTTGTGGTGGTGTTTGTCTTGTTGTTTGGGTTTTTTTCTTAATGAGTTGTGTCAGCTGCTCCAGTGGCTAGTTCAACTGGGAAATGAAGTTGTGATCCAGAGTAAGTGGTGTTTATCAAAGTACTCTCCTGTGAGTTTTGGCACAGCTGTAGTGAAACTTGGTGTGCTGAGTACTGTGGTATGGAAGCTTCTTGTTGGCTTGCTGTTCGCTCTCTGTAGCCTTGAAAGAAGCCAACATCAGTAGAGGGAATTCAGAGGCTTTCCCTTGCTCCCTGAGGTGTTAGCATTGTTCTGCATCTGGGGGAAGATTGAGTCTGCGGTATAGGAAGTCTAGAAATGTTAATGGTGACAAAATGGGAACCTTACTTCTGCCATGTAGCTGCTCTTTAGTCTTGGACACTAATTAAACTCTTGGGTTCCTCTCACTTAGATATGAAATAGGGGAACAAGTGTCGTATTTACTGATGATGTTGTGAAATGTCTTTGGTTTGTGGGTTGGGAGGTGTTTATGTAAAAGCAAAAATACCCTAAACTGGAGGAACACTCGAATACTCTTTTGTGTCAGGAATCAGTGTAATGTTAGTGACTCATTCTTTGTCATGAAAGAACAGAAATTCAGTCATGCTTTTGGATGACTAATTCTGTGACTCTTGTAGCACCTTTGTGTGCTGCCATTCCTTCCTCTCTCTCAATCCTTCCCTGCATAGGACTTGATTGTGTAACCTCTTTTTCAATTCCAGTACGCCGCTCCACATAATTTATTAACTACCATGTAACTTGCATTAACTTCGGATAATGGAAAAAGCTTCTAATAGTGACTTTTTTTTCTTCTACAGAGAAACAAGAGAAAGAAGTTGACATGTATGCTAACCTTTCAGATGAAAAGGCCTTCGTGTTTTCTGTGGCCTTGGCGGAAATAAACAGAAAAATTATCAATCAAAGACTTATTCTGTAACTTGTAAGCACAATCTGGTGCATTTATATGCAGAATGGCTAGCGTATTTCCAAGGTGTCGTGGACTCTCGGAAAATGTGTTGTCTGCGCCGACAAGGACCACAGTATTTCGTGTTAAAATTCTACTGCAGTTCTTGGAAATCGAATTCTGTCTCTACAAGTCAGAAAGTGTTCACAAGATTGTGCTATGAAAATCAGAAAGCAGATACTTTTTACACCTTGAAGACAAATGCTAGACAAATGCACAGAGAGACTGCACCCATTCCAGAGCACTTCCTTTAAATTTGCTGCCAGAAATGCAATATTTTGAATATTTTCAGAAATAAATGATTTTCCTTTAAAATTATATATTTCAGATTTTTCAGCTATGTTGCAGTTTACGTATGTACAGTTCACATAACTTTTTAATAAATCGATATTCCAATATTTTATTGAACTGGGAATTAAGTACCTTTGTGATACTGGGGGTGTGTTGTTTTTAATCCTTTAAGAAATCTGCTCTTCATCCTAGGGATGGCTTTAGATTTGCATTTTTTCAGTAGGTCTGATATCATTCCGATAGGAAGAAAATTAAAGTGGCTTCATTTTGGTGGATTTATTCTGCTTGACGGCTTTGTTTTGTTTATTAATCCTCTCTAGAAAATAATTCCCTTTTACATAGAGTATGGTTTTTTTAAGAGTCACATACACTTTTTGGGGTCAGAATCCTGAAATTTGAGAGCCTGTTCTGTAGCAACAGTTTGGGCGTCTGCCTTGTCCAGACGGTAAGTACTTCTCACATACTCTTGGCCCATCGCTTGCTGGAGAGGGAGAGAAGCAGGCATCAGGGATGTAGCTCTGCAGCTAGCTTCTGGTATTTCCAAGAGATGGGGATATGCCAGTTCCTTTGACTCTCATCAGCTTTTTCTCTTTTCTAAACCTGTAATTCTTAGCAGTATTGTCTTTGGAATGTTCCCTGTAAATACCAAAGCAAAAGACCACCTGAGTGTGCAAAAATGAGCTGTTCTGGTAGAAGTGAGTTTGTGGAAAACATTCAACCAAGTAGCCTTTCTTAAGGGGATATAGTGCTGTTTGAGCCTAAAGTTTTACTTTAGTAAATATATGGGTTTTTTTTGTGGGGGGAAGAAAACAAACAAAAAACCCTGAACAAACAAATAAAGCTCAAGCCCTGTAAAATCCTGAGGGGAGGAGGTGTAGGAGATATTTGCATTCATCAAATCTGACATAGTAGCTTTTTGTCACCTTTCCTTCACTCTTGTAGGAAGGGGAATGCAACTAAATGTCTTTGTTTTTCTTCAATATTAGTCAGGATTTCAGTACCCCTGATTACTACTACCTAATGAGGTTCTGCTGTAGAACTGATGTCTGTGGAAGCACAGGTTGTTCCTACTAAAGCCAGACTGTCCCATACGGACTGTTTATTGGTTACTGGTTAAAGGAAGGAGCTGTGGTAGTTCTGAGATGAGCCACAAGGGACTGAGCAGATCCAAACTTTGTAAGCAGAAGCAGGAAACACAGAAAGTGATTTTTTAATTCTTAACTCCCATGGAGTAATTGGGGTCCTTTTCAGCACTGAATGAGAGGAATGGGTGTGGACATGCACTTAAACCACTAATCTACGTTTGTCTTTATTCCAGTAAATGAGGAGTTGCGAACACAAGACCTACTTTGTTCCAGCATGTAGACTTCTGCTTTCCACAACTGTAGCCTGTCACAGCTACCCGTAGTAAGGACAGATGAGTAACTCTTAAGGATAGAGCATATGGTTGCATGGTAAGTTACTGAAGTCAGAATGACAAGAGGGAAGGTCTAATTTGGAAAACTTAAGGTATGATCAGGCTTGTGTTGCTTCTCTTGCTACAAAGAGATGTACTGTACTAAGGAGGGATAAAGGGAACTATTAATGCAGTCTGTCCAGAGCTCTAACCTGCCTGCCTACAGGTATCTCTTTCATTCTGCTCCTGCATATGGAATTAAAGTTAAGTCGTCTGAAGGTAACGTTGTTAGATGTGGCAAAGTTTAACTTACAACGCTTACATTTAGATTGGTGTCTTCTCTGATAGGTAACTGAAATACTCTTACCTCTGAAAAGCACAAGGCTGTTTGTTCTCTTTCATTGATGGAGGTTCTTCAGACTGGCTGAGTTCTATTTCTGTACTTCTTCCTTTTGTCTTCCCCAGGTCTCTGCTGTCAGCTCTTCCCCACTTGTGGTTGTACTATTTTTCTTCCCCTGCTGGCTCCATTTCTGGAGAAAGCTGTGATGGAAGCAGATGGCTTTGACATTATCCTCGGGAGAGAGTGAATTTTTGCCAGTGGATCTTGCAAAAGAAGAGTCCTGACTTTCTCTTCCTCCCAATCAGAAACAACTAGTTTTTCCTCTATAGACAGGACACTTCAGGCTCTTCCAAAAGCCCTGGCAACTCTGTGGCTGTGGTACGTGAACTCTGTGGCTTTGTTCAGCCTGGAGAAGAGAAGGCTCCCGGGAGACCTTATAGCACCTTCCAGTGCCTGAAAGGGCTACAAGGAAGCTGGGGGGGACTTTTTACAAGGGCCTGTAGTGACAGGACAAGGGGTAACGGGTTTAAATTGAAAGTGGGGAGGTTTAGATTAGATATCAGGAAGAAGTTCTTCCCAGAGAGGGTGCTGAGGCACTGGGACAGGTTGCCCAGAGAAGCTGTGGATGCCCCATCCCTGGAAGTGTCCAAGGCCAGGCTGGATGAGGCTTGGAGCAACCTGGTCTAGTGGAAGGTGTCCCTGCCCATGGCAGGGGGGTTGGAACTGGATGGTCCTTAAGGTCCCTTCTAACCCAAACCATTCTGGGATTCTAAGATTCTATGCTCTGCATTGTATGAAATGGGCATTGACATGTTGGCATCTCGAGCTCTGTGTGTTAGAGATGGTCAACGGATGAAACATTATGGCAAATCATTGTAGGTGATAGTTGTAAAATGTACTGGATCTCGGACTATCAAACTAAAAGCCAGTGACAGCTAAATGATGAGTGTCAAATTCTGTGTACTGCACCTCTGACTTGGAAACTGCAGAGTTTCCAAGAAAAATAGTAACACTTCAGGAAGTTGCTTGTACAGAACTTTTTTTTTTGATGACTAGTTTCAGTGTAAGATTTTAAGTTCTGCCTTTGAATGTCTTTGTGGTTCAGTCTGACTTAATTTCTTTCACTGCGTTTCGTAGCATGAGACCTCACACAGAAAAGTAGTCATCTTTCAGAAGTGAATGAGGCTGCTGTTTTCTTAATTAACTTGAAAGAACATCAAGTGTATCACCACCACAAAAGTACCACTTCACCTGTATGCTGCCTCTATGTGTTGATTTACCTGACTAGGCAAACTCGATGTTGTGAACGGAGTCGTTTAGGATTGTACTGGAGAACTGCCTGCTTATAAACCACCATCTAGCAAGTTCTGCTTTCAGCCACTTTTCTCTTATTTCTGAAGAAGCACGCTTCCAATGTTCATAGCTCTGTGTAAGAGTGTGTCAGACAGTCAAGCAGGGTCACAGTTCAAATTCTGGCTGGAGATTTCCCTCTGCATTTACTCTACTCTGCTACTAGGTGGCAGCATTATTCTAAAGACAGTTGCTGTCTGTTCAGGCTTGTTATTGATACTAGGGAGAAGGTAGTACTCGGGTTTTGGTGGAAGTACATTGGAAGTTTATATTTTAGAGCATTTATTCATATGTAACATGGGAGCTCTAAAATCCAGCTTCATCAGTTGTGTGGGATGTTGGCCCTGTGAAAAATCGGTAGAGATGAATAATTTGTCAAGACCAGAGGACTCCGAACTTTCAGTTGGCAATTTAATAAAAAATGGATTAAAGAAACTTCTTCACCACCCCTGGAAGTCATATATATATAAGTTTTCTTGGGTCAAATTTTACATGCATCTAATTTTCCTGTTATTTTCACTCTAATACTATTATAGTTGATTAAAAAAATTGAAAATGGGGCAGAGTACTGGGGAATAATTAGCAGATTATCTTCACTCTGTGGTTGGGCATCAGGATTTGCAGAGAGGGAGACCAGAATTGAGATATTTGCTTCAAGTATCAGGTCCAAACCAAGGTATTTAGGCTGGTTTTGTTTAGTGCTTTTTATTTTTTCCTGAGGTGGGTTTTTTTTTGGGTGACACAGTGATACATGTAGGTTACTAACAGCCCTGTGTCTGTTCCTTGTATCTTGGACTGTGCTATCAAGGATGCTTAGTATCTTATTGCCTAATGGGACACGGTGCTTGACTTTTGTTCTTTAGGACACTGACAACCTTAAGGTATTGATAACCTGTGATTAAACAGTGTAACCAGGAAGCTGTCTTAAACATCTGTGCAGCTTAAGCCTTTTTGAGTTGCTGTTCTGCAGAATACGATTCCTCTGCGTGCATGAGCATGTGCTGGTGATGTCCCTTTTTCCATCTCTGGGTACTTTTATGCAAGTGGCTTTGTTTGGATTAGGAGTGTGTGTTTCAAGCGAATGTCATGATAGTCTGTTACTGTGTTGCTTATGTTAACATCCTGGAATGGTCTTGGGGAGCAAGAAGTAGATTCCTTTAACAGAAACTTGACCTTGAAGATGCCCTTCAGCTGTTGGTGGGTGCTGGGTTGGCAGGACCAGGGCTGCCCGTAGCGGGTGTTGGGCTCTCGGTACCAATGGCTTCACTCTACGGATTTCCTGTTGTGCCTCACTTAGGAAAATACAGCGGGGCAAATGTTAACAAGCCTAACCCATGCTGTCAGGTGAGTCTAAAAGCAATTTATCCTTCAAAGTATTAACAGTGTCAGCAGTGTTTTGTAGTAGGCTTCCCACCTTTATTTCACTGGATTCCGCCACATAACCCCTAGTGAATCTAACTGTAGCATTTCCGGGTGTTGCTTTCCCCAGTTATTTGCCTGTCCTCTTTGGAGGTTGCCACTTAGGTATCAGTGGGGTAGGACAGCTCTGATAAATAGAATAATCAGACTGGCTGCCCCAAGGTTGTATCTGATTAAGCAGGTTTTCTGTTGAGCTGAAGGTCATTTTTGCTGCTTCGTGGTTGATCTGCAGCAATACACTGCGTGGTTGCGTTAGGTACTGTGAATTCATAATGAAAAAGTATCCTTAAATCAATGTACTAGTGTGGTTTTGGTTTGTTTCTGCTCTTACTTTAGAAGGGGTTGCTCATGCCTGCTAGCTGTTGATTGGGATATACAATCTAAGTAAAAAGCAGGAAATGGATTAGTCAGAAGGCACTGGAAATGGATAAATAATTTCTTCCTTTTTCTCCGGAGGAACACCTAAACCTGCTTTCACCGAAGTTGTTTAATTGCAAGCTCACAACATGGTTCTCATGAATCGTTTGGTGTCATCATGCAGCAAATCCCCAAGTACCCCATCCCTCATCTTCCTTTCCACCCCTCCGCTATTCTTGGTGTTT